CCGGGTGGAATGTATTTGTGGCTGGAAATGCGGTGACTGTTCGGTATCGGGGTCGGAAGAAGCAGATGACTTGGGTTGATTTTTCCCTGGCTTGGGATAACCCTCTCGGAAAAATGTCACTAATCTTTTCCTTAGTGTCGGTAGCGTCCCCTTCGTCGTTAAAGAGAATTTTTTCAGCTCTCTAACTAGCTCGTCTTTCTTGAGCGTATAAATCCAGCTCACTTTTGCTGGCTGCGGTTCGTCGTCACTGGAATTGGTAGATCTTTCAGGTCTTCCTGGGGGTGGCAGGTTATTGCGGCCGGGATCGGATGGCATTCTAATAGCTTACTACAATTCAGCCAGACGTCTCAATAAAATAAAGTTGGTATCGGTAGATAGGGATAACCTATCTCGGAAACGGTAGCTCGGATTGCAATAAAACTATCAGAAATCGGCTGTGCACCTCTGGTTTACTTAAAAATGAGGGGTCACTTGCTATGTTCCCCCCAAATCCTAACTCCGGGAAACTCCGGGTGAAAATCCGGGTAAAATGTCAAAACCGGTGTACGTGCTCTATTTGGACTCTGAGTATAAAAGAATGTCCAGGTTTTCTATAAATCCCGTTTTCTAGTGATTTATCGGTTATATTTCGGGAACGGCTAATCGGATCGGTTCGGAACTGGTGGCAATCGATTCTTTACCCCCGAAAACTATGAAAATGACACCTTAGATGCCCCTACGGTATCCAGGAAAGCTTCGGGTGAACTCGGCAAAAATCGGCAATTTCCGGTTAGCGGTGGTAAATCCCTTCTTATGTCTTCTTCCGGAATATTCGGCTTCCATCTCGGATATTTGTGGAAAAATGGGTTTTCCACTGGGTTCAGGAAAAGTCGGATTTAATCGGCGGTGGTAAAAATCGGGTTTTTGTCTCTAATTTTATACAGTCACGTTACTAATGATAGCCTAGTACTTTCGGAACAGGTTTAAACAGAATTGGGTAGAATTGACACTTTTCAGGTTTTTTTACTATAGGTGTTATCGGTTCGGAATTAATATTTTCCTGTTATTAATAAACGAGAAAACTACTCTGCTTTTTATTCGGTTTTCTTTGAAAAAGAAAACATCATTTTCCTGGATTCTGGATTGCGGAAATATAACACTCTGTATATGTACAAACAAATACAAACGCTTTAATTTGCAAGATATTAAAGCAACGGAAAATAACGGTTCCCAAATCAGTATTTGATACCAGCAATGGACGGTGATTCCTAATTTATTTAAACAAAGTAAAATACTAGTTTATTAAACAAAATTATACAACGGTCTAAAAGAAAATTACGGTCCCTGCTCGGGCGCCAAATTTTGTGACGCACTTTTCCTCGGTTCTCTCTTTATGGATCGTTCGGTGTAAATTTTTATTACTTTTAACTATGGTGTGTACACCCCCTGTAATTTAATTTTTCGGAAAGGTTTTATATTCCTCGGACTGGACTCTAAACGATGACGTTAGTTAATAATTTAAATATTCGGTTTTATTCTCGGGCGCCAGTTTCCCTAAATTTGACGTGGGGGAAACTCCACGTATCCCTTACCCTCGGTTTAGAGTAAAGTGCACAGGTAGCTACAGTGAAGAAAATTAATTCCAGGGGTCAATGAATTTCTTTTAGGAGAAAACGGCAGAGAGTTCGGCAGAGAGTAGTTTTCTCAGTGTAGTTTTATTTTAAATATGAAATTTAACGGGAGCTCTACAAAACGATATCAGCGTTTTTGCTGGTTCGGAATGTTATCGTTTTACCTCGACGGTGAAAGAAATAAACCTATTAAGTTTTACTAGATTTATTCACACAGGGAAAATATTAATACTTATTACAAATACATATAGTGTCAATTTTTATTCCTACCCACTACTAAACGACTGAAATTATTTACAAGTTTCTTAACAATAATTATATACAAATTCAGTGTGAAAGAGACAAAATTAAAAAGTTATGACTCTGGGTTTTTTACCATTTTACTTATCACCTTAGAAAAGAAATAAATATTTGCAAACGGGATCGAAATAAAATATTTATTACTCTACAATCGTAGACGGTTTTTATGTACAAAGGAAAAGGTGATTTTAAACGGTCTGATTAAAATATTTATAGACGTTTTTTACTGGTCCCCGCTGATTCTGAAAATAAACCAAAATTTATTCGGAATTATTTCGGACTTATTTTAAACAGGCGGGCGGTCAAATATCGGTATAATGGCCTAGCAAGCAATGCAAAATTAGTAAGCGGAATGCGGTAAGCGGTAAGCGATAGCAATAACCAGCGAAGAAAGCCCAAGCGGTGCAAGGCGGAAAGAAAGGATGGTGAAACGGGATCCGAAGTATCTCGCCTTACAATTCGTACTAGCCTTTAAGCTTTATACGTCCTGGTGGCCGATGGTGTCGGACTCTCTGTATACAACGCTTCTCGGTCTGATGGGTATACACGCCGACCAGGGAGAAGCGTACGGATACTATATGGAACGACCCGGAGATTGGGTGGGCACGCCGAACCTCTAGGTCTTGGTTCACATATCCCCTATTACCCAGCGTACATCAAGGTGCGGGACACCAAGCAACGCTGTAGTAAACACGACGGCTTCGTCAGGATTGGGTTTAACACGCCGAATCCAACGATTGCACTGTCGTGTGGGTTGAGACGGACGGTGGAATTTGTGTGTGGGTTACCAAGAATATTCTTCTCGGGCCCACAGTAATTCCACACTTAAAGTGTACAAATCTTTTCGGACTTGTACCCGGTTGGAACGGATAATAATAAGGAAAATAATTCTTACTAGGTTCACTGGTTATTCTGGGCTGGCTTCGGTGGAGAGTTCTTGCTGGCGGTGGACGTCTGTTCGGTGTTGAGTTCTGGATACGAACTGTCGGTTTCGGGGAATGTCGAGGACTTTTGTTGCCCAAATCCCCACCGGATTGACACCAGTCGTGGTGGGACCTCCACGTGACCAACGGCTTGTCAGAGTGGGGTATCGGCCGGTCGGACCCGCGAGCGGATATTTGATATATATGTAGAAAAATCAATAATTCTCGCCGCCGGGGTAAAATAATCCGAAATAAAAAGAAATATCTTTAAATCCAGACATAATAAAATCAAAAATAAAACAGGTTCATTACATCTGTAATAAAAAATATAATTCTTTATTACATTTTGATAAACAAGATAAGACATTAGAACTAAATAAAAATAATGCAGATTCTGTCAATATACCAACAAATAATGAAAATATGGTTCATTCTAATACAAATCCGGATGTATCCGCCAATAACAATGCGATATCTGTAGTAAATCACAGTCTGTATAAGCAAGAATGTTCTGTTTTATTAACAACGGCAGTCGTTTATATCTTAGATTATGAAAATAAACCATTGAAATGTCGAGCAGTTTTAGATAATGGCTCGCAGTCCTCATTTATGACTAAAAATTTATTTCAAAAATTAAAATTAAAACCTAGTCCAATAAATTTACCTGTGCTTGGCATAGGCTCTGCGATAACCCAAATCACTCAAAAAACGGATGCCACTATTAAATCATTACATAATGATTATACGTCTCAAGTATCGTTTCTAATATTAAACCATATAACTGGAAATATGCCGCAATACTCAATCAACCCTCATGAATTAAATATTCCTAACAACATAAAAATGGCAGATCCTAAATTTTACAAAAGTGAATCCATTGATCTCTTACTAGGTTCAAGTTTATTTTATGAGCTTTTAAGTGTTGGACAAATAAAATTAGGACCCGGAAGGCCCATATTACAAAAATCTTTGCTAGGTTGGTTAATAGCGGGACCACTAGACATAAACTCGTATAACAACGTGAGATGCCATCTTGCTGTGAATAATGATTTAACTAAACAAATCGAACAATTTTGGCTCAGTGAAGAAGTAGTTCACAAAAAATTATATACGCAAGAGGAGCCGGAATGTGAAACTGAGTTCATAGAAAATGTCCAACGAAACCCACATACCGGGCGATTTATGGTTAAATTACCGTTGCGTGAAAATTACAAAAAATTGGGTGAATCACAAAAGGCTGCTATTAATAGATTTTATTCTTTAGAGTCAAAGCTATTAAGAAATATTAAAATGCGTGATCAATATATAGCATTTATGAAAGAGTATATTGACTTAGGTCACATGACAGAATTTAACCCACACGATAATAATGACGATATATCATTTTACTTACCTCATCATTGTGTTACTAACGAATCATCTCTCACGACGAAGTTACACGTTGTATTCGACGGCTCGGCAAAATCTTCAACCAATTTATCTCTAAATGATGTGCTTAAGATAGGCCCTACAGTTCAAGATGAACTTTTCAATATATTAATTCGATTCAGAAAACATAATATAGTTTTGAAGGCCGACATTGCGAAAATGTACCGGCAAATAGAAATACATCCTCCTCAGATCTTTGCAAAAAATAGTGTGGCGAATGAGTCCTTGCGTCATTTCATGTTAAATATCATAACTAAAGGCCGGATTTTATGCAATTGCATATTTTATGCATATATCTTCAAATTTGGTCATTTAATGCATATGTAGGATTTCTTTGCATATCTTGCATATTTACGTTATTTTTTCTATTTTGGAAAGTAGAAATAAAGAAATTTTGTTATCATTTACTTATCACGGGCATTCGGACAGGTAAGTAGTTTAATACCTACATAAAGCCATAAAAGTTTAAACCCAATAATAATTAATTATAGATTAAATATTTAAAATAGTTTAATACCTACATAAAGCCATAAAAGTTTAAACCCAACAATAATCCAAAAATATTCAGGTAAATATTAATAGATTTTTATAGCTTTGTTAAGCTGAGGTTTGAATACCTACTATACCTCTACTATAAATTATTTTCATCCTTTTTGAAATTACTAGTATCAGTGTGGTTGCAGTAGTTCGAACACCTAAAGTGTGCCCAAACAAAGTGAATGTGAATTACGTAGCGAACATGCCAAAAATTCAAAGTGCCTCGTGGATTAAACCATATCCAGAACTTATTTTGGATGGCGATCGCATTTTTTGCAAGGCTTGTTCAAAAATTGTTTCCTGCTCGAAGAAATTCCAAGTAGACCAGCACGCCAAGACGCCGTCCCACATTTCTAAAGCTAACAGAATCAAATCGGGTCCTGTTCAGTCAACGTTGAAGCAAGCTGTGGAAGTCAGCAGTAATCAACACCATGGGCAGACCAAATTTAATGAAGATTTGTGTAGAATGTTTTTGGCTACGAATATTCCTCTCCACAAGATGACCAACCCTCAAGTGAAGGCATTTCTGCAAAAGTACTGCAAATTTAACACTCCAGATGAATCTACATTAAGAAAAAACGTCGTTGGAAAGGTATATGCTTCAGTGATAGAAGAAATTTAGAAAGAAATTGCAGATAACTACATATATATTATTTTTGATTAAACAACTGATGCTTGCGGTCGTTATATAGCTAATCTTATGATTGGAAAACTTTCTGAAGAACCTGGAAAACCTCATCTTATAGCAGTAAAAGAACTTGAAAAAACAAACAACCTAACAGTTACCCGTTATATTCAAGAAACATTAACACATTTCTATCTGCCACATCCAGTCCCTACAAATAAAGTTCTTATTCTGTTGTCCGATGCTGCACCGTATATGTTAAAGTCAGGGCGGAATTTAAGAGTATTTTATGAAAATATTGACCCGGCTTTAATTCCAAAATTAAAATTTTGTCCTGTAACTTCGGTTGATGTAGAAAGATCATTTTCTTTATATAAACATATTCTTAGTGACCGAAGGCATAATTTTATAGTAGGAAACCTAAAACTCATATTGTTACTAGTGCATTTTACAATATTTCAGATTGATCTTGTAGTTTAGTATTAAGTTACGTTTATGCATATATTTGTACAATAATGTAAACTATGTAATACATGTTTAAAATTCGTTTAGTTGTTGATTTTATATCCTATTGCTTATAATTTAGTGAAAAAAATAATTTTGCCAAAGAAAAGCCATGGAATTAGTCATTGCATATTTCATGGTGCTTTTGCATAAATCATGCATATACATTTAAAAAATTGTATGCATATATATGCGCATATTATAAAGGTTTTTGATTGCATATAATCCGGTCTTTAATCATAACATATGGCACCGCTTCGGCGTCATTTTTATCCACAAGGTGTTTACAGCAATTAACCTACGAAAATCAAATTAAATATCCTTTCGCTTCACAAACAATTTTAAATGATCTGTATGTAGACGATCTCATAACCGGAACCGACGACATAGCTTCTGCAAAAAGGTTATTCAAAAATTTAAATATGATAATGCAAGGCGCATGCTTAGAGCTTAGAAAATGGAGTTCCAATAAGCCTGAAATATTTCATGATAATTATGTTACAAGCAATACAGCTGACATTCAAAATTTTATTATACCTAGCGAACAAAGCGCAAAAACGTTAGGCATCGGTTGGGATGCAAAAACTGACACTATACGATATACAAATAAAAGGTGGCGCGAGATGAATCACATAACAAAACGACAAATTCTATCAATTCTATCTCAAATATTTGATCCCCTTGGATTAGTGGGCCCTGTCACAGTAAAGGCTAAATTGATATTACAAAAATTATGGCTTCTTAAACTGGACTGGGATGAATCCATACCTTTAGATTTGTTTACAGAGTGGCAAGCATTTTATGATGCGATCCCTGCAATTGATAAAATCAAAATACCAAGACATATAACATCCTGGAAATATTGTGAGGCTCAAATCCACGCGTTTTCTGACGCATCCGAGTTAGCATACGGTACATGTGTATATTTAAGGACAAAAAATGACAGCGGAAATTTTAGTCCGACTTATAACTGCAATATCACGTGTTGCGCCTTTGAAAACTATAACGATTCCCCGATTGGAACTTAACGGTGCTCTACTTATGGTACGATTAGTTAATAAAGTGATTGAAGCATTAAAAATGAAGATTGATAATGTATTTTATTGGTGCGACTCCACGATAGTTCTTTCTTGGCTGAAGACAGAACCCGGTAAATTAAAAACATTTGTATCGCATCGCGTAGCTGAAGTTCAACAAAATTCGAATATTTGTAATTGGCAACATGTCTCATCGGGTGACAACCCAGCGGATTTAATTTCTCGCGGATTAACAGCTGAACAACTCCTTGGTACTCGTTTTATGGTGGCAAGGTCCGAGTTGGCTAAGTTTAAGTGAAACGTCATGGCCACGAAATTACCCTGTGATAACAGAAATTCCCGAATTGAAAATAAAACCTGCTTGTAATGTATGCACAGTCCCAGATCAGAACATCTTTAACAAAGGACCCCGCAATAATCTTATGGAAATTGGGTTTCTGCCAAATAGTCAAAATTTCTGATATGTTGTAGATTTTGTCATCCTGAACAAAAGTCTCCATGGGCACAAAGTGCCAAAATGAACATTTTGGCAGCTACGGAGCTGCCAAAGCTCCCCTGACCCGTTGCAAAACTATTCATTTTCAATACTATTTACAGATGTCAAAAGCATATTTTAATTATTCTAATATATAGGGTAATGTTTTTGAGGTCACTGGATTCAACCCTCATGTCAGATTGGACAAATTGACCGTTGACAGCTGTCAATACACTGTCAACGAAGAATAGAAAAGTAAATATTCTCTTTTCACATTGAGAGTTTGGGCTTTTGAGGGAGCTGAATTCAATTCTCATGCCAGATTGGCAAAATTGACAGTTGACAGCTGTCAATTGACTGTCAACGAGGAATATAAAAGTAAATAT